GTCGATTCCGCCGGATCGGTTCGCCGAGGCGGTTTTTCCGCGTTTGACGGAGAAACGAATTTTTATCCCGAAATTTCTCGCGTATCCAGCGAGACGACGCGAATGGCGGATGAAATTAACGGGGGACTAGAGGCGCGCCGTGAGAACGAGGTAAGTCGTTCTCGCAACAAAGTGCCTCGGGTTGAGCCCGTACGCGCGAGATAGTGGACGTGTAACGCTATATCGGATAGCGTGTCTCATTCCGCATTTTCCTCCCACTTCTTGTGCCGCGCCGATCGATCGTTTGCCGATCGTTAAACGAATGCCGCGCGTTCCAGAGATCTACCCCGGCCGAGCGCGTAACTGCGTGTCGACATCAAACACATTTTAGACCCCCGTCCCACCGGTGCTCAGGAACACTCTGGTAATCATCGGATAACCGTGCGATGCGCGGAAAAACCGAAAGAATCGATTCGCGACATCGTTGCAAGAACGGGCGTTCCGCTTGAAAAAGCGTGCCGTCGGAATGCACCGACGGTCTCTCGTTGAAATTCGTTTAAGAAGAGCGGATGCACGGAATTTATTTACAGGACACCGTTTCCGGGCATTTAAGCGGGAATAAAACGCGGCTGAGAACGCTTCGATTTTGTCGGCGGGAGATAATGAAGGACCATCCTGTCACTGATACATTATCCTGACGAACGCGTCGTAAATATCCGGCTACGGAACGAAACGCGCGCGATTAATCAGCCGAATTCGAACGCGCGCGCGGTTATTTAACGTTCGGATATGCGAAATATAGCCGATGGCCAACCGCTTCTATTTATTATTTAAGCACTCGAACACGATACGCGCGCGTACATCGGCGCTGGGCGTGCGCGCGCGCCACGCTCGAAAACGCGAAATTACGACGGTGCGCGGTCGCGCTGAAAAGAAAGAAACAACGTTTCGCGTTGCGCGTCGTGTTCCGTGTGAATGCCAGCGTAGAGGGGAACGAAATGAAAACGTTAATTATGACGCGGCACGCTTAAGTGTCGCTATTTAGCTCGGAATTAATCTGTCACGAGACGAGTGTGAAAAACTACCCGTTTAAGAGGCCGACTCTCTTGGCGGGTCGTTTGATTGGCAGCTCTCGAGGAGAGTTCCTCTTCAGCGTCGTCGCTGCTCCCTCTCTCTTTTAAAAACCTCTCCGGGACTACTGGCGCGTTCGTATATTCGAGTCGGAAGCGCGCGACGCGATGAGGAGGGAACGGCGAGGGGCCGCGAGAAGGAACGGCAGGGAAACGAAGGAAGACTTTATTTTCGGTGGCCCGATGACGCTGAAAGGCGCGAGCGTGGAAGAAGAGGAGGAACGACCCGTCGAACAGCGAGTAAAATGAGCGTCGGAAGGGGCTGGCTGGAGGGGACGAGACACGAAGAAAGCGAAATGTCCTCGAGACTCGAATAATGGCTACGAACGCGGTCTGTGATTCGTAACAGTTTAACGTTTTATAGGAGCAACCTGATTGCAGCGCCACCACCATTGTCGACTGTTGATTTTAATAACCGCTTCGTCATTATGTGCCCGAACGTACTCGATCGTGCCCGCCTTCCAGGAGCGAGTAAATATTCCGCTCCGATGTTAATTCGAATCCGGAACCTCGACCCAGGGAAATATCCGAGGAAATAAATACGAGAAACGCCGACCGTTGCGCGATATCCCGGGCGAAAACATGGCGAGCTAAGGTAAACGACGTCCGTCCGAATCTCGAATACCTTTCGAAGGAAAACAAACTTCCGTCTACTTTGGAAACACGCTGGCCCGACGTACGCCGTGCGAACGCGACGTGTCGGATCGTGTCACGGTCACCGTCACGACGTTTCGCTTCGTAGGGATCGTCGATGTCGTACGCGAAGATTCTCGAATAACGACGTATCGTAACCACGCGACGTATTCTACGCGTTAGAAATCAAAGTTGCGCGGAACGACCGTCGCGTGTGGAAAGGCAGCACGCTCGAAATCGCGTCTTACCGGCGAAGACGAAAAACAAAGGATCGGGAGAAAAAGAAACAAATATGATACTACTAACGAGAGAGCCCGATGTGCATTTCATGGCTGGGAACGAGATTTTCTCGGGACATAAATAAGCATAAAAGGAAAAAAGAGAGGGGGGGGGGGGGGAAAGAAAAAAGGAAAAAGAAGAGGAAAAGAAAAAAGGAAAGGAGAGAAAAAGGGAAGGATAAAAAGTAACAGCGTCGTCCACTAGATTGTACTTATAAATGTCTGAACGAAGGACAATCTAACGCCGAGGCGGAGAAGCGAGAGAGACAGAGAAAGGCGCTTATTGTGCGCTGAACCATGTCGCCTTAGCGCACCGAGCAAAGTGAAACCTCCACAAAAAGCGTAAACAAAAAATAAACGTGACGAGGGTCAGTAGAACCTCCGTGTACGTCAACACCGCGTGAAAATACGACGTAAAACGAAGAATGGAATTTGTAACGCGAAGCGTGGTGCAACAAGCGCATAAAGACGCTTCGAATCGTTTCACGAGTGTACCGTTAATGACGCGACCGCCATCTTTAATGCGCGAACTTTTGACGCAGAAGCATCCCGATTAACGTTTCCCGTTCGGTTACGTCGTCGCGAGAAAATGGCAGGAAAACGGCGATCCCGGTTCGATCCCGTCTGCCGAAACACGGATTCGCGTTCGACTGGACGCAGCGCGTGTGCCGAGGTACGAGTAAACGACGAGAGATTCACGGTGGAAAGAGGAAATCGTTGACAAGCGAATCGCGACTACGCGGGTGTATAACCTAACCAAAAAAGTGAACGGAGCGAGGGAAAAAGAGGGCGGTCGCGCAACAAAGAGAACATTTACGTTTCAGTACTTACGATCGGAGACGGACGAAGAGCTGGACGGAGTAAGGTTGGACGAAGAGAAACGTCGGTGTGCAGCTCGAGGAAGGAGAAGAAAGAGAAGAAGGAGAAGGATCACGCGTGCGGTTCCTCGGTTGTTAGGTCGTCGTTACACAGGTTCTTAAAGGTCCCGTGGTCTGGCGTCTGGCTGTGTGTAGTAGAACGGAGTGTGCAGCGAGCGCGGGGTTCTCGGTGTCGCCGCTTCGGACGGTGTGCGCGCGCAGAGCCTCGACCGGCGTCCGCCAGAAGTCGCTGGCGCTGTGGCCGGCCTCGGGCTGCGCGAGCGGGCCGTTCAGTCTAATTTGAACCGTCGCGCGCGCCCGACGCGGGGCCACCGACAATCCCTTCTCCGCCTCGACGTGACACGAGGCTCCTCGTGCATGCCGCGTGCAACACACGCGCCGATCCCCCGCACGATATTAACCGCACGCGTGCCCGCCATCCAGCAGCACCAGCACCAGCACCAGCACCAGCACCAACAGCAGCAGCAGCAGCACCAGCATCAGCAGCGGCAGAAGCATCGTTGCCATCGTAGAATCGGTGTCCAAGTCGGAGCGTACGATCGTCGTCTCGGTCGCTCCTCCTCGCGAATCCGACGACCACGCTCGTTCCGTTCACCGTCTGCCGGCAATTTTCGCTCGCGAACCAAGCGTCTCGCGTTCCGCTCGTTGCCGCTTCCACCACGGCGATTCGTGCGCGATCGTCGTCGTGGCCGTTGTCGTCGTCGGCGACGTTGCTGCCGCGACCACCGCGAAACGTCGACAAGTTTGGACGGCAACGGGCAGGAGGAGGAGGAAGAATCGTGTGGTAAAACTGAGCAGTGAAGTGCGTCGCGCGAGGGCTAGACTTCGACGGTCGACACTACCAACCGCGCGAGAGCCTCGTGAGTATATTTAAATAGTGTGTCTCTCTGGCTGGTCAGAGAAAGCCGACAGTTTCTTCGTCTTCTTCGTCCTCTTCTTCTTCTTCTTCTTCTTCTTCTTCTTCTTCTTCTGCTCCTTCTTCTCCTTCTTCTTCTTCTTCTCGTTCTTCTCGTTCTTCTTCTTCTTCTTCTTCATCATCATCATCTTCTTCTCCGTCTTCTTCTTCTTCTTCTTCTTCTTCTTCTTCTTCTTCTTATTCTACCGCTCCTTCCTACGTCGTGTGTCATCATCCTCGGCTTTTCCTCGTTCGGAGTGCAACGTGATACGACGAGAGACCGAGCCACGACATCGGGGGTGGCGCGAAATTCTTTATCGACTCTCGACGATTTATTTCGAGATACGGAAACAGTGTCGCCGATTCGTCGTCGGGGGAGTGCTCCGAGAACGAAATCGAATACCGGTCGAACAGTATCGCGGATTGCTCGGATCGGATCGTTTCGAGGATGAGAAGCAAGTCGAGTAAATAAGTCGATCGACGATCGTCGAAGAATCCTCGCATCGAAAATCCGCTTCAAGTTCGAACGAACGATTCGTCGTTTCGAAACGCCACGAGAGAAACACAGAAAGAAAGAGAGAGAGAGAATTTGTGGTAGCGAACTCGTGGAAGAAAATATTTGAAAGGCAACTCGAGATAAGAGAAGGGACGAAGTCACCGAGGCGGTAAACGATAGAGGGTGAATCGGTGGTAGCGGCTGAAAGGACGATTCCCCTGGTAGCGAATCGTGGGGTCGCGCGAGCAGGATGTTATTCTCGACCGATCGACAGGATGATCGCGACTTTTGAACTGTACGTCTCAATGCGGTTTAGAGGGAGCACAATCGCGGCAGCCGGCGGTCGTGATCGTTCGCGATAATCCAAGGTGAATAGACGCAGTACGATTTCGTACCGCGGTGTTCCTGTCGCATCCATCCCGAGGCATCAAGGATGAGGAGGACGGTACTGCGCTGGACGAAGAGCAGACAGCCGAGAATCTGTCCGATGGAAGTCCCGATGTTGTGCTGCTGCCGGTGGTACAACACCTCGTGAACAGCGATTCGCATTCTCCGACGACAGTCGAGCGCGGAAGGGGAGCGAGTAAGGGTCGAGAAGAGAGCAGTTTCGGGACGAATGAGGCTTCGCTGAAGATTTCATCGAGCGAGCAAGAGAAAGAGAGAGGGAGAGAGAGAGAGAGAGAGCACGAGCGAGAACGTGTGACAGGAGGAGAGGAACGCGAGACAAATCGAGAGAGAAAGAGAGAGAAAGAGAGAGAGAGAGATTTCGCGACGAACTTTGAGGCGAATTCGGTCGCGAAAAGAAAGAGAATCAGTTGGAGAGAGCGGTGTGTCGCGTTCGGGGTGACCGAGGTGTCGACCTCACCCCCGATCAAACCAGCAAGCAGGTCGGATGATGTGGGCGTCTCTGTTTTTGGCCGGGATCTTAAGCGGCTGGTGGGGCGCATTGGCGCTCGCTGCGGCACCCCCCGCCAATCGGAACTCCCTCGAGGAGACGTCGACGAGGACCACCAGCGACCATCCACCATCGATGAGCATCGCCGCCGTTGAAAAGCCCCTCGATTACCGTTTACCAACTTGGAACTTCGTTACGCGAACTATCGATAGACGCGAGCATCGAACAGTCGACCAGACCCTCGCTCGACCTACGCGAGATTACAAATTACCGGTCGGCGGCGACGACGACGACGACGACGACGACGACACCGACGACAAGGACGACGACGTCGAGGTTGGAGCGACGTCGCGGCTTAACCAACGATCCGAACACCGGCAACTTCGGCAGGAGCAACAGGGGAGAAGATCCTCAACTGGGAACTCGCAACTTCTCGAGAATGATAAACGGCTCGTCGAGTCGAATTCGTGGACAACGTATCGGCTCGGTTACGAGCTCGGTTCCTCGTCGACGATCCGAGAACCCATCGGGGGAAGCTATCGAACCGTTTCGAGCTTGCCGGCCAGCAGCGGTTCGCCACCGCGCCTTCGGGATGCCACGAAGTGGTACACGGAAGAATTGGACGACTCGATACGCGACGTGTTCGTCTCGTCGTCGAAACGAAGGATCGCGGATCCTAGTCGCGTGCTCGTGCAGCACCAGACGGCGGACGTTCATCCAAAGATGGAGGAGTCCGGATTGACTCGGCTACCACGTCACTCGTCGACGCAAACGCCGATCCTGTATCCATCCGGGGACGAGTCGTCGATGGAACGGCCACGAGTGATCAGATCGGCGAAGCAACGACCAAAGAACCGTACGAAGGCGGATTCGCCGAGGGAGCAGCGACGAAGATGCCGGAACAAGGGTTGCCGCGGTCAGAACTGGTGTCCGGACGTGGACGTTGGGAACAGAGCCTACCTGGCGCCCACGGTGTTCGAGGGGAAGGCGAGGAGCATGTCGTCCGTGAGGAAACCGGGCTCGAACTACGCGGTGACGTTCGAGGTGAAACAAGTATACAAGAGCCAGCCCGGTTTCCAGCCGTTGCAGAAGAACGACAGCGTCAGGCTGCACTTTCGGGACAAATCGGCGCCCGGCAAGTCCACGGTCTGCGGCTACGACACCGACGGCAAGCAGCAGCAGCAACAGCAGCAGCAACAGCAACGCGATAATCAGAGTGGTGTGGTGCGAGCCAATATTAAGAGGGGTAAAGTGTATCTAGTGTTTGTGAATCGCGTGGGACCCAGAAACTTCACGATCCTCGGTGAGCCGGTGATACGAAGCAAGAAGAACGAACAGGCGGTGCAGGCTGTCATTCGACCGGATTACGGTGAGTACGATTATCATCTCTGGCCTATTAATCTAAGAGCTTCGGCTCTCTCGACGGAAGAAACACGGCTATTGAGAAGTTATCGGGAGTTATTGCAGCTGCGTGCTTTCGATTGGCGCGCGCGCCCGACCCCCCGTGTGTCGCATGCATCGGGTCGCGCCTCGTCGATGCGCCCGTCTTCCGGCTCGCTATTATTTCCGCGCGCGGCCCTATCACCGCCGCCTCTAACGATTCTATCGAAAACGCCTTGCATTTCCCTTCCAATCCCCTTCGAATCTTCTACGAAAATCTTTCACCGATACCCTATTTTCTTTTCCCCCTAAATATCATACGCGCCGATGCTCCACCGCCGAGCCACCGCGACGTTTCTCCGATACCACCGGATTATATACGATGCAAAAAGCCGCGTTCGCCGCGCGCTAGAAACCTAATCCTCGCGCGACGCGAGCAGCCCGTAGAACGTCTTTCGGCTTCGGCAAAATCATTCCGGACAGTTAGAACCGTGAACGATAAATTGTAACCGCGCTTTGACGCTATTACTTATCGTATCTGAGACTCGTTTCTGGCTGCGCGAGCACGCCCACGTAGAGGAGAAGAGGTGCTTTCCTCGAGGCGCGTAATCGAGACGCGAACACGCGTATATTTAAACCGCCACGTAAGTTGGATCGCCTTCAAGTCGGCGTGCGTGGCTCGACCGCTCGCGCGAGCACCGAGCACTCTCGACCACTCGTCCTCGGCTTTTCTTCTTTCCTCTTCGCCAACGCGATCCACCAACGACACCGTCGTCACCGGTGCATTTCCACCGGAACTCCTCCGCGCCAGAAGCAGAGTAACGAGCCCCGAGTTTCGAAGGTGGTCCAATTTGCTCGCGGTTCAACGCGCTCCGCTTCGACTCCCTCGTTCCCTCCGCGACGACCGATCGCTACCGGCTCGGCGACGACCTTCCGCGACTTGATTTATCGCGATAAGTCGACCGGCACGGCTCCAGATATCGAAAGTATAGCTCGTCGTCGTGGTCGTCGTCGTCGTTGTCGTCGTGGTCGTCGTCACGGAACATCTGCGAGGCTTTTCACGAGCTCTGACGCTCGCTTTCGGCTCGTCGCGCACATGTGGCCTCCCCTTTCGACCGGTAACGCGCCGCGCTTTCGACCTCGTCCATTCGTCGATACGCTTCCCTCGATCTTTATCTTTCGCTTATTTATTTCAATTAGTCATACCTGAAAATTACACGCTTTGCAATATATCATCGTCGCGAGACCAGTTATCGATACCGGCGCGGTCTCGTAGATAACAGCCGCGTCGCGGCGTTGGCGCTACTAACTCCGCCGTCAGTTGCGAGTCGTCGGCTGGCGAAATTTACGCAATTGTCTAATACGCGTGAAACGAGAACGAACGGAGGAAACGGCGCGGGGATCGATGGAACGGATCGAATCGCGGTACCTACCGGGTGGTTATTCCAGACACGTTCGCGCGGATTGTGTTTTATTCATAAAGCGGGCCGCTTTGCAAATATCTCGAAGATTTTTCGACCAGGCCGGAACCGAACGCGATGGGGCACACGGTTCGCGCAAAGGGAGCAAAGTTCTTTGATACGTCTTCGAAGTAACTCGGCTCGCTCCTCGTTAGCGTCGTTTTCGTCCTCCACTTTCCTCGTCTCGTTTACGAGTTTCGAACTGTTGCGCTCGTTTGCCCGGCAGCCCACCTCCGAACCCTCTTCACCTGTGCGTATTACACATCCGCCTTGACGCGTATCGAAAGTTTTCGCGACTTATCCCATTATCGAGTACCTCGGAGTATCTCGCCTCGCGGAAAGCGGAGATCGTAGCCTAGCTGCTCCGTTAACGCGACAGAGAGAGAGACTTAAACCGATTTATCATGTACGGCTGAACGTTGAGGGGTAAATTGGATTCCCGGGAGCTTGGAATCTCGATAATCTCGTCGAATCTTTGTCACGAGTCGTTAAAAAAATCTCGCGATGACGCCTCGTAAAATCCCATCTCACCGTCGCTGTCGCGTAACTCGAGATCGTTTATTATCGAGAGTTATTCGATATTTAATTCCCCTGTAACTTTGATAAGCTGCCCGATAGCCTGACTTTAAATTGCTTCGTTAACGCGCGTAGACGATGCAGCCGCGATACTTTTCGCCCTGCATGGAAAGCGCCGAAGACCCGCGGCACACGAGGGGTGCAGAGGTTGGGCGTGAAAAGAGGCGCAAACGCGTCTGGTGTCCGGCGACGGTTCGTTGATCCGCGATCCGCAAAAGCGGGTCCGCCAGCCCTTCTCCCAGTTGCCGGTGACTAAGCCAGACGGGGGGACCCGGGACGTCAATTATAAGGCCTTAATCGGAAACCCGTCCTTACTTCTGTTGGCTTACACTCGGCCATGCCACCCGAGTGAGACAGCGGCGGAGAAAAACGGAATATCGAGAGCATAGTCGTGTCGCGCGCGCCCATAGTCCCTCGGATATACCACCGTTGTCATCCCATAGCCCCGCGTTCTTTCCGCCATTCGGCAATAACGGGCCCCCTTTTTCGTCTACACCGCCGGATGTTACGCGGATCCTCCGCGGTTTCGAGGGTGCCAGGTAACGCGCGAGTCGGATATATGGATCGAGAGAGCTATCGGCTGGACGACGAACCGTCGACGTGGAATCACGACTCGGTAAACGAGAGTTATTCCGGTTCTAATTGGAACTAACTGCAAGCGACGAAGGAGACGAGCGTCTGCTCCGAATTCTTTCGGGTCAAGATCGTTCGTTCGGTTTAAATGACTGCTCTCGCGATTAATGAACTTCCGAGCGTAATCTCGAGGAGCTAGATAAGCGGGGCATTTAAAGCGGTATCTATGGTTTACGGGAAAACGTTTAGTCATGTGCCGCGAAGTGTCGCGCGGGCTATCGTTATCTTGATATATCATAGTTACATTCATTAGCGCAGCGTAGCCGGCTGCTCGCAGACGGTTATTAATATTCGAATTTTCGAGCCGATAAAACGCGAAGGTAGCGGATAAGAGAGCGGATGATTTTTCGGGAAGCGGACTGCACCGGGGCGGATTAAGAGCTCGCGTTCGCAGAAATTTCCACGTGCTATTCTTAGACCCGTGTGTGGTGTGCACGGTGCACGCAGCGATTGCGCATTATGGTGTAACTACGAGTTCGGCGCCGCGGTATCTGGTTCGCTCGCTCGTTCCCGTGGCACACACGCGCGATATCGCATTATCGCTGTACAGGCTAGGAGTCTTGCGACGCGACGGACGCGTCCGCACGATGACAGGTCCTAAAAGGGACGCGCGCTGCGCCGTTCAGGGCTACGAGTTATTTTCGCGTTTGCCGAGTACCGACCTGCAACGCTGCGAGCACATGCGGGTGCTGCGAGCAGTTTCGCCCGATTTCTCGCAATTTTCAGCTTCGCTCCGCGAACGAGCGATCCTTTCACGCGGGGGGAGAGACGAGGGGGCCCGATTTCGGGCGAACGAGCACGACTGGCGGATAGAGAGATCTTCTTTCCTCGAGGCAGCGCGGTTGTCGCCCGCGAGGCAGCGAATTACTATAGAAATTAATTGACGTCAATTATCGTTGCGTTCGACGGGTGTATGTAGGACGCACCGACGTACATCGGCGCACGGTGCAACGGTGCTACGGTGCAACGGTGCTTCGGGCAGATAGTTAAAAGACACCGGGGCTTCGAAAATAACGATCGTCTTGCCGTGACACTTTTGACGAAACGAGCCGCGCGGAAATTCGATTCCTCGCCTCGTTTCCCGGCTAATCGCGAAGCGCGATACGGGTTAGGTGTGCTCGATGCCTCCGACATTCGGGCAACGCGACGTTTCCCCGTCGATTTTTGCCTCTTCGTGGCGCTGATGGAAATAAATATTTGAATCGGGAACTTTGAATTGGTCCCGATGACGGTGGGCTATTTGGAAAATGGCGGAAATGGGTGAGCACACGGATGGAAGACAGAGGGCAGAGTTTGGGCTATCCGTTTCCGTGGGACTCGTGTGCCGCGATGGCCGATCGATGGACGAAGCATAATTGGCGACTTAGCGGGAACAGAGCTGGTACATCGGCCGCGAGATTGATCGTCCGAAGGAAGGGGAGTAAGGCACAAGGGCATCGGGAGGAGTAGTAGCAAAGAGACGGATAGAGTCAGATGGAGAGTCGAAGCGACAGAGGGAAGGAAGGAATAGGGGAGAGAAGTGGGCCCTGGAGGCGGGCAGGGGGAGGGAAATCGGCACGTACGTATCCAGAGCACGTACGGCCCTGTGCCCATACTCAGAGGAACCCGCAGGTACGCTCTATATACCGTGGACGGTGGCTCACGCACGGACGGACGGTCGCACACGCACGTGCATAGGTAGAGGTGGGGTATGCGAGTGGTCAGGGTGGGGGACCACACGTGTGGTGTGTGTATACACCGTAGCGGCGAGCAGGTAGACTGCTGGGCGGCCGGCGATCCAGCCTCGAGCACGAGGTCTCCGAGGTGATCCGCCGCCGATCTGGAGAACCGGTGCTCTCGATGCTGCGCTCCACCTGGCTCGCTCGCATCGAAATTAGTTTACCCGGAATGCGATTGTAGCGATGCACCGTGCTGCGCTCGGTGCGCGACATTCGTACCGCGTCTGCGTTCCATCGCTCGTTTCACCTACCTTTGGAAAATTAATTTAAGGGCGAGATTGATCGTCGAAACGTCTCCCGATTGCCCCACCTCTCTCTCCCTCCCCCTCTGCTCTCGTTGGGAAAATTCCACGCTTCTAGCCGCAATATCCCAAACGTCCTCGAAATCGCGGAACGGGGGGCAGAACGAGTCCTCCTTTATTCTCGCCGATTATTATAATCTCCAAAGTGCGACACGGTTGCGTACCTATACGGATAGGAAGATTGGAAATAGGATGATTGGGACAGCGATCCGTGGGCGCGTTAATACGTCCAGCTTTAACGTAATAATTCGATCGCGATAAATGGGCACAGGTCCCTGTCGAGCGGCCGATTCGACGGTT